AAAATATACGTAATCGCACAAATAATGACAAAAGGTAATCAAGGGGGAGATTACTACATGGATGCTATTAAGGCCAGCTGATTTTTAAGTTGTCTAAGAACTGGAAGCAAAAGTGTATTATGTTCAAATGAACTACTGAAGGCATTTTCTAATTGTTCAATGTAATTTTGCAAACTGTTCATACGGAACATTAAGATTGCCATAAGATAAAGTTTTGGAATTGTGGGCTTGGAAACGACAATAATATAGTCTCTAGAATTTCTGCCACATGCATTTGTATATTCACAGCATATCTGAGAAGAGTGTTTTAAGCATGCATCCACTGAGTATCCACATATTTATCGTAAGATAGTTTGTTCAGCTAAATCAAACTCTTTGTACTCTATCCTATCTATTTTTAGGGCATTATGAGGTGGTTGGGAATTATTAATTATGGTGGGGATGTTGTACCTCTCACTTAAATTGGAGATATCTTCATTAACAGATAAGAATTGTGGTGTGATCAGATGATTAAAACAGGACTTGCGTTCGTGATGTATTTATTTTTTATGTTGTCGGTTCAGTAGATAAGGGAAGAGTGTTAGAGTCTGTGATTTTGAAAATGAAAAGACAGGTCGGTAGAGAGCGGTGAAACGGTTGTGTCGAAAGGGTTGTTAGAAGGTACTTGAAATCTTCGAAGGATAAGAATTATTGGGAAGGGCGAATAAAGATAGGTTTTACGACATGCAGGTGGACGAAGAGAAAGTTTCAGGGTGATAGTGGTTGGAAGTCAATAAATACAGACTATACACAAATATTACATGTTGCACAATTTTGTGGGATTTGTTAGCCCCCACAAAATGTTGCTAAATCAAAAGCACAATTACCAGTTGGGTTGTGCTGCATATATTTTATACAGAACAATAGCTTGTATTTGCTTATATTCAAATAAAGTGTGATGTAAATAACTATTAATAATAAGAGGATAAAAATAATTTTATTAACACCCGCACAGAACTAAAAGTGACTAAAGTCATCTTCGCAATGAAAAGGTAACATTCAATATTATAACTGTATTTGTACCCCTTAAAGTGTCGTCCTTGAATTTCAACGTTAGGTTGTAATAACAATCGTCTAATGGGCTAGAGGGTACTTTTATTATTATCCTCGCTATAAAATTGTACAGTTTGTGTTGTGTATACACATTTTAGAGTTTTAAAGGATAAGAAAAGTTAATACAACCATTTTGAGTAATTTAATGGTTTTTTTTTATCCATTTACTATTAGTCAGGATGTAAACATTACAAAAACACCAACAAATGTTAGATATAATACAATCATTTTTCGAATAAACTTAATGATGAAATCTATGAAATGTAATTTTTTTAATCTTGTCTTTTTCCGTTTATGAGGAACCTAGTATTTTTGGAAGAAAGATTAACCACTTTTGGTATATTCTTAAGATTGGAAATATCCCTGGTAATCAAATAGCCGCGCTACGAAAGTTTCACTCAAATTTAAATAGCGCGCCCGAAAGTGACGGTTTGGGGCGCAGTACATAAGGACTATTGTCGCTTAATTTCGCGAGCTGTCATATCTCTATTATCTCTGGATGTAGTAACCCAAACTTCCCGCCTCTAAATTGACCTTGAAAAAAAAATTGAAAGGCCCGCGAAAAATTTAAAAATTTAAAGTTTGACCTTGGCTGTCGTCTAACAAATAGGAACCTACGTTGTGTGTTTTTTTTTTGTTTTTGAAAAATGGCGGGAAGACGTTCTTTCATACAAGTGAGCATATACTGCATGTGAGTTGAGAGCGCAAGAAATAATAGACAAAATTAGAAAGGTCGAAATCCTTCCTTAGGAGGAAAAGAAACGAAGAGCGACAGTGACTCAGCGTGCCCTTCTGGTGACTCTGCAGGGTCACGGCGTCATCGGTCTTCATTCCTAAAAACCCCCTGGGGCTTTATTCACCGAAATATTACATTTCAAACACCTTAAGATATATGAAAGAAAACACTCGCGAATTGACAGACATACTCATATGAAAAACGAACAAACGCAAAATCCTATACATCTGTGTAAATCAATGCAAATATTTGAATATCACAAATTTAATAAAATAAAGCAAAATCCGACTTAAGTAACTGGATGCAAATACACAAGTTATTACGGGCGTGTGGCGGCAGATTTTTAAAGTTACGGCAGTTAACAGGAACACAACAAGAGTACCCCTGGGGACCTGGGGTGTTGTAACACAAGCGGAGTTTGGGGCTACCGGTCTGGAGCTGTTCTCCCCCCACGACGGTGATTCTATCTATCGCAAAGCCTACCCCACACGCATATCTCCATTACGAACGTGCCCTGCGGAACTAGGCCATTACGGTCGCCAGACCCGCAAGAGGATCTCGGCTATGGGCAGAAGCCAAGAACATCGGCGGCCGCCCCTGAATCTATCCAAACCTGTGGACTTGTACAGGTGACACGATAAATCTCGCCAGCTCGACTAGGAACCGAACTTCGCTTCTGCCACGTTTTCTGTGTCATTTAACCTCAATTCCATTTTTAAATATTCAATCTCTAAATCTCTTATAACTATGATATTAACAACAACTGAACAACTGTTAAAGTTTCAAAGAGTAGTAAACAACATTTAGATTCGCCATACAACCTTGTGAAATTTTAATCAACAAATAATAATTCTTATGTGAGATTAAAGTTGGACATCAAATAATTTACATGATAGAAACATTCATCAACAAAGTATTTACAAAACAAAACTTAGCAAGGATTTATGAAACAAGAGATCTGGTGTGAAATGAACTTGTACAAATAGAAATATTCTGTGAGGTTAAAACTGTAGAACATGAAATTTACGTCCAATTAAAATTATACAACAACTAAAATTACTGAAGTTAAAACTGTGAGATTGAGAAATATTGTATGAGATGGAAAATTGCAGAGTTAACAAAATTTACATGAGATTAATATTTGCCATACTTTATTAACGGTTCAAACAAAGAGTTTACGTTATGTCAAATTATATCATGACCTAAGTAATTGGTCACTTAAAAAAAAAACAAATTACTTTGAGAGTTTAAAATACCGCGAACTGGTTACCCCAACAAAACACATAATAAACAAACACAAAAATATCCAATCATCGCGTCTCGGTGATGTAAATTTTAAAATCGCTCCAAGGAAAAAGCGTCTCGGTGATGTTATTAATCTCTAGCGTCGCGAGGATGGACCTCTATCAATCTGTAGCGTTGTGAGGGTATGCCTCGATTAATGAATCAATCTGTAGCGTTGTGATGGCATGCCTCGATGAATTAATCAATCTGTGGAGTTGTGAGGCATGTCCCGATGAATTAATCATGATAACGATGATAACCACCTAAGGGAAGAAAATATCATAACCCCCGCCAGTTCGCAGTATAATGAACTTGTTTAACTGCCGTAAATTAACTATCAGCAATCTTGTGTGAAGAATTAAGAAGTGTTATAATGTAACGCTTACGTATATGCATCCAGAAGCTTATTCGTAATTAAACAATAAGGTGTTTTCTTGACTAAGTGAATTTCATGAAATCTTCTAACAAGTGGTTTATTTAAATAATCCTGATTGTTAAATTGTGTTTGCACTAGCTGACTATTAAGAAAAACTAACTTGATTGGTGAATTTACAAACAATGAAACAAATTTACAGCACGTGTTTCGTGTTGACCGAAAGTCCGCATTTCTCCGATTAAAAGGCCGCAAGAATTAACCGCGCGGGTTGGGGACAACTGTATCATTATGAAAGTTACGATTGATTGTCGTTAAACAAAGGCCGCCTCCCATTTTATTAACTACCAAACCAACTAATTTAAATCTAGCTCTTACCACGTGGTTACACTCACACCAGCACATTCAGACTGAATTTACGGCATGCAGTTTCTCTCTCTACCCATCAACCAACCTTGTAACTAGAAACCCCTAGGGCTAAATCGCCTGATTACCAAGCAAGCATTTCCGTGCGCCAGGTTGCCTATGTTTAACGATTTCCTTTTTGTGATTGAATTTTTTTTTCAAATTCAAATTATTCAAATGTGATTTCGCGCCGCTGTTAATTAATTTCAGCGCGAAAACTTTGATTTAAATTCGGTCACCAAAATGACTTGAAGGAGAAGCTGCTGAGCGTTCACGACACGGTGCGCCACAAGATCCGGGTGGCGAGCGACAGAATGAAAACACGCTACGACCTTAAGGGTAACTCAGTAGGATTTCAAGCAGGGGATTTGGTGTGGCTTTATAATCTCCGAAGAAGGAAAGGTCGTTGGCCGAAGTTGTCACCAGACTGGGAAGGTCCATATAATGTGACGAGAATCAACGATGTCGTTTACAGAATTCGACGAGGGCCGAAGAAGAAAATGAAGATCGTCCAGTTAGACCGCATCATGGAGTACAACAGGGACACCGTCGACGTTTCTGATCGGGACGATCAGAACTAAGGAGGGGGCAATGTTATGAAATAAACCCATACGCCGCCCCGGTACGACGCCTATGGGTCGTCTAGTATGTACGCGTTTCTTCTCGTATGTAGTATGACTCATAGGCCGCGCGGATGCAAGCGGAAGTCTTGAAGCGGCGCTGGAAGTGGAAGTCGCGAATACTCAATTCGAAAAAGAGCTCGATCACCGAAATATGGATTTAAATAGAGGCCACCTTCGGGAATGATTCATTTAGTCAAGAGTCGAGTGACCGAATGCATTTAAGTTGTGAAGTTATTTTGTACGTAATCGCTGTAGTAGTTAATAGTGTAAATCGAGTTATTAACAAATAAATTGTTGAGTTTTGAGTTCTGAAATATACTTTATTTGTTTTGACGATACTGATCAACACGACGTACTTACAGTATGCAGAATCTAGTTAATTTGCCAAAAGGAACCAACTGGGTTAATTTTTCACATTCAAGAAATTCGTTAAAAAACTTCAGACGATTTTACAGAAACGAATAAAGATCTTATTTTTGTGTTTTAGCAATTTGATACCCAAAGATGATCTCGACTTCATCTTGGATTCGCCGTACGACCACTCCATGGAAATTTTTCCCGACACAATAGATGTCTATCTCCAAGCGGAAACAATGGGTAAATCTACTTGGAGAAGACTAAGAAACACGTCGGATTTGAAATCGTCGTTAGAAGCTCGTGCAAGGATCGAATCTGTAGTGGCAAAAGTGCAAAGATTAAGATTGGCGAAGGAATTGGATGAAGACATACTACCTTTCAAATTAAATCCTGTATGTACAAGAATGTGTTATATTTGTTTAGTGTTTAATTTTCTTCCAGGCTCATCCTGTTATTATTAGTGGTATTATGGAACGTAGACATCCCAGCAATGTTAAATTGATGAATTCGTCGCACCATTCGCCTCAAACCAACGGCGGTTACTCCAGACAAGATTCCGACGGAAACTTTTATCAGTATTAGCGGTTTCTGTTGGCTGTTAGTATTTGTCACGGGAATAAATTAAGGTAGTGTCGATTAAGTGTTTTATTTATAAGTATTACATATCATACAAAAAGATATACATTGGAAAATGGAGGGCGGACCCTTATATTGCTACAAGCTATTATAAAAGTACATGAACCATCATCTTGGTAAAAATTTCAAGCTCGTTTATACCTAAGATATGTAAAAATAACCGGTATGGTTGAGCTTGGACGACACTAAAAATTATATTAAATGCATTACCTGGTTAAACACAGTAGTGTTGCGAAGTACAGTACAACATCAATTTCTTCGTATAAGTACATAAATCTACTCAAATCAAACCGGTATATACATAGTGTAGAAAATACTACCATACGTATGTAAAAAAGCATAAAAAATTCAGTACCACATCAACGGGTTTTATTGTAGATTGGTGTGAAGGCCATACAATTTGGCAGTTGGTTTTAATCATTGGCTAGTATTTTACTCAGTACTTAAATTAATTAAAAAATTTTGACATCATTAACATCACATTAACTCTTAAAATAATAGGAGCATATTAAAAACTAACATAAATACAATAAATAGATCATCTCAAAAAAACTCACTAAAATAACAAAGCCAAGAAATCATGAAAAATAACCTAGTATTCCCACTGGGTGGCATTTTCGATCGAAGAATCTCCCAAACGGAAACACCCGTTCTTCCCTGCTGTCATGTAATTACCGTTGGCAGTTTTGATGCAAAGGCGTGTGGGTTCGCGGAGTTCTAGGTAAAATGCTTCGGGTGTGTCAGAGTCAGCTGTGACTCCTTCGCTATCAACGTGCCAGTACTTGTCGTTTTGGCCTATAAAAAACGTAAAAACAATAATAAAGCGATTCTTTCCAAAAAATCAACAACTACAGAATATGTTACATTGTCAAAATACCGTGGAAAAACAGTACATACCTTTAAAATGCACAATTCCCTTTTCGCCCCTTTCCACTTGAATAGTCTCATACGTGGCCTTATTGCACTCTAGTTTAGGACTACTGGCCGACTTGTACCCCACAAATCCTTGTTCACACTTGAGAACCAAAATCGGTCGGTTCACCAAATAGAAGAAGTACTTGCAATTATCATCAATGTTGTCGGAAGTGGCATACAAGTGCCCCGACCTCTTCGTGATAACATAGCGTCCGTTGTTGGCTCTGAAAGCCACCGAACCGTCACCCTGCCACACCAAATCGAAAAGTGCGTTGGACGATCTCTTATCGCCGGCGGCTTGAATCCCGCCACCGGTCTCCAGAGTCCAGTATTTATCCTGCATCGTGCGGATGTACCACCGTTTGGTGCTCCAATCGAATTCCAATTGGAAGGTCTCATGGTCGGAGATCTCATCTTGATTGGCAGTAACGTCCACTCCTAGAAAAAAAAATGGGTGTAAATTGGTTGTCAGTACCGCTCGGCGGGCGGTGGAGCGTAATAGTCGGATGCGTCTGCAACTGTCACGGCAATTAAAACATGTTCTGGTTAATTAAATCGATGCGTGATATCAACATACGCACGTTTATGGGGTCATTAATGGGTAGTTGGAGGCATGATTTATTCAAAGAGGTCTTGATGCGGGAAATGGGCGATTGACAGCTACGTAGAATATGCATTTCCGTGTAGGTGTCTTTTAACGGCAGTTTTAAGTTAATCGCAGGCATGTTACTTAGAAGCTTGTGCGCTAATTGCACTGAGAAGGTTATCAAGATATGATCCGAGTTTTGCGTTTGTGTCGAGAGGTTATAAAATATAAAAGAGCGTTAATGTTTCTGTTTGTCAGATGAGGATGAGCATGTAAAAAAAGTTAATAACAATTATAAATGAAGACAAGTTAAAAAAAACTCACATTGTGTGATGAAAAAGCAAAAAAATACCCAATTATTAGTTTCGTTGATTGGCAAGTTGTTTTTAACAATCCAGAGATACTTATTCCATTTAAGGAACCGAAGTGATCTATTTTTATTCATGTATACGTCCAATTGTAATAAACTTCATACCGTTTAAATGAGCGCAAAAAACCCTACCCAGATTGCTTTTCCGTTTTTTAAATTTTGTTGTAAAAAAACCTACAACGTGTTGTAATGAGTATGGGATTATCTGGTTTTCGTATTTATGGATCAATTTTTAATTTTCAAAACGGTACATTAGTAGAAACTGCATTAAAAAATCCGTTACGCTTTACAGAAATAAAATATGTTAATAAATAATTGAGTAAACAGGGGCAGAATATTTAAAATTTGTGGTCAAACAAACTGTAGCCATTTTTCTGGTCCACTCAAATCTATAGCAGGAAACCATTGATATCAGGAAACCGATAGGGCCCGTGCTTTTAAACCCCTCATAATCCGACAATAAAATTTTATGAGTGTCCACCCTCTAAGGTTTTCTAAATTTAATTGCCTTTTTCTTTTTAACACGTTTTTTTTTACCCTTTGGACCCATACAACAAATATCTAAAATTGTGTCTTAATAAAATTTTTCAAATTGCAAAAAGAAATTTTTAAAGTAATGCATTAATTTTGAAAAATAATGAGTAATTGTAATGCATTATTTTTTAAAAGTAATTGTTCCAATCACTGGTAATTAATAATTTAATATAATATATAAATATGATGAAATATTCATTCGTCCATATACACATACATACTAGACGCATACAGTAGATTTATTTTAATGTTTGTAAATTGTTGTAAAACGGTATGTTTCTGTTCTGTCTTTGTCTGACACAATGATTGGTGCAGGTGATATAATCTGTCCGACGAAGACAGAAATAGAAACATACAAAATGTCCTAATTGGTACAGTTTTACAACACCTTGCCAAAATTAAAAGAATTCTACTATATTACTCCTGTAAGTACGGTTCATGACCTCTACATCACGAAAAAAATAGGTTTCCCGTTTCCGTCTGTCTGTCGTCTCTGTCGACTTTAATTATGCAGATAATATCGAAACTACTGGATTGATGGCCGTCAAATTTTATATGTATTTTAGGAATATCGCGTAGATTATAAAACTCCAACCAAAATTTGTCTGATTATCTCCACCAATGATTTGATGACGTCCTTTCAATTTTTTGAGATTTAAACTTCATAAAATAGCATACTCTTGTACTTGTGGTCTATGAATTCGCCTTTAAGTTTTTACTCTAGGCATACAAACTTTTGCAAAAAAAATCTAAATTCTATAATAATCTTTTATACAGGGTTACTATAAATGTTTATTTATCGTAGGTGTACTAGTATAAACTGCTCGAGAATCACACAGCGTCCCTGATTTGTAGCCCGAAGATTTTTTTAATTTATAGAAGTTATCACAAAAAAATATAAATTCATAATTTTTAAAGAAGCAGGAGTTGTTGGACTATACTTTAGGGGTGAGTGAGGTTCTGTCTGAATAACTTTAGACCCATTTTTTTAGCAATGCAAGGGTTCACAAAAAATCTATTAAAAAAAAGATATAATATTTTACAGAAAGATTAAACAAAGTAAGCGCTTTGTTGTGGTATCAATTAAACTAAATATATGTATAGTTCAAGTCTAAAACATTACAATTTTCAAACAAAGTAACATGTATTTTATCTCAGACAATTTTTTGTTCTCCTTCCAATATGTCGATGTATGTCTTAAAAGAGTAACAAATCGCAATAACTATTAACTTTAAATAGAAAACACTTAATAAAAAAGAAGGAAAACAAAAAACAATGAGATGCAGAAATAAAATACAGTGTTTTATTTGAAAAAAAAAAAAAAATTGTACATACATATATGTATATATTTGAAAATTGTAATAATTTATTTTTTATACACACTCTGTATCTTAAGATTCATTTTTATTTATACCACAACAAAGCGTGCACCTTTATTTATCTCTCCACAAAGTATTGTAACACAGATTTTAGAAGTAAGCCTATTGCGATATATTTTTGTGAATTCTTCCTTTGCTAAAAAATTTCAAGGAAATTGTAATAACGTGCCAACGTAGCATCAGAATTTTAAAAATAAATTGTGGTTATAAAACCTAAGAAGACGTCAATCGGAATATGTAAAAGTATATGCGATATTCCATTTGACAAAACTGAGTTGTGTTACGCCTTAAAAACAGAACACTGCATCGTTGAAAATAACTTTACGGCCATACAACTTTTTTCAAATTTTTACGAAATACGTGTGAATCTTTGCAACAAATATACAACATATCTACAAATGATTCTAGTATCAATTCTATGGAATTTCTTTCCTTAAATATTTTGTTGCTTTGTTACCATAATTTACTTTATGTATATAACCAGTTATACAGTTGAACCATTGGAGATGATTAGCAACATTTTAAGTTCAACATGGTGAGTCATTAGAATCTGGCAACGGGCTGTCAGTCAGTAGCGTAACATGCACACTTAAGAAGGGGGTGGTTTTTTTATATAATAAGTGGACTTGGCCCGACCGATTTTGTGCTTCAACGCAGTTTTACAGCTGTGTCAATCTTAGAGTGCACTATGTTTAACATGACAAGATCAGTGCAAAACACTATAATCTTTGTATAAAAGGTGACGTAACCTAACAAAATGTTAATCAGCACACAAATTGTTTTATTAACAATTTGTTTGAAGCAGATTAGAATAAGTTAATTTTTTATTAAAAACGGCCACCAGTTCAATTGTTTTTAACGTAAAACAATTTTTAAGTGTGACATTACGGGAGCAAACAACAAAAGGAGTTTTTAAATTTAATACAATCGACAAAAAAACAAACTTACTTTTTCGTCTGTCAAAACTTGATTTGAATTATATAAAATTCATAAAATTTTTATGTATTCTGGAAAAAAAATACAAATCGTTTAGAATATGTTTTGCCAAATTACGTGTTAATTATTATTTATTATCGACACATTGAATTTATTATATTGTACAACACGGTAGTTTAAGTTGACTTTTGAAATTTCCTGCAATTTGCCGCCTCGTTGTGATGATTAACTTAACTTTCTTAAGTGCGAGAGTGCAGTGCAGCAAAACGGGATTAATTTTGAAAATTTCTTCTTCTAATTGAAGATCAAGTAATAATCGCAATAATCACACAACACTCTCATTTATGTCACTTTTTGATTGTGGTAAATTGTTTGATGAAATAAATAAGCGTCAAATTTTCATTAAAAGCGCAGTGACAGATTGTTCAAAACCAACTAGATGTACATACGATGATTTATAATTAGTAATCACTAATCACACATATTGAAATGTGTATACAATGAATTCCAAAAAAAAAGATTTCGCATGTGGCAAAAATAAAAAACTCGTAAATTTATGTGCTACTTTATGAGTAGCTCAATCAATATCATAAAACGGTATCGATTTAACATACCACAATGCTATTTTATGAACAAATCGTTAGGTAGAACCTATGAAATTTCAGTTTTTTAAATTACTTGCACAACGTAGGTACTACACGCTACTTAAAATTGTTTTCAAAATTTGCAAATTAAAAAATTTGGGACCGATGTGTACTATTTATTAAAACATAAAATTTTCGAGTTCGACAAAAAAACTGCTTTTTTCAAAATAGGTGAAAACGATTAGGAGACATTAAAACAAAAATAAGTCAGGAAACGTATTCATAAATACTTTTTCACATAATTATGTATTAATACGTTTTCTAATCATATGAACTTTTACACACTGCAAATTATTGAATATTGTATAAAACAATAGAAAAACATTGGCCTTATTAGGATTATTATTATTATTATTAAATGGCTCCTTGACCACAACTGCATAACATTGCACTTACAATGTATGTATTATTAGCTAGCCCTCGTAAAATAATACCTACTCATTTTCATTTTATATGTACCTAATGTCACGTTATATGCTTCAATGAATAACCCAGTAGACATTCCTAACAAACTATACTATCAATAAAATAATTCTTATTAACATAGAAATGTGATACAAATATGATAATGTTTCGATAGTAGAACGAAAATAACAGAACACTAACTAACGAAAAAGCAAAGAAAAAACTTGCAGTTTAAAAATATCCCGTGATAAAACAACCACAGAAAAGTGTGGGAAAACACGACGATAAAAATAATTCATCCCAACAGTTGCGCAATTAAAAAAAAAGGAAGCAATTAAAACGACCAACGACGGAAAAAAAAACAATCCTCAAGTATATAAACACTTGCAATCCTAATTGTAAGAAAATGTTCAGTCTGGAACGAACAAAGTAACATCGACCAAACCGCGATAAAATTTTGCAATTTTCCACCGCTGTTAATTATCTCCCGGAAGGAAGCTGCTGATGAAATTTGCATTCAATTAAAAGATGAAGGAAACTCGGCACACACTTTTCTGTTGACGCCGACGGCAACGATCGGGAATTACCGGAAACGGTCAACCTGTTTGTTGGCGAACCTCGTCTATACTTTGCATAATTATTCATGAAAGACCAATCAAAACAGCGCCAGCAACACCTGCCGCGATCATCCGCGTATCGTACACCCGGGGCGCATTTCTTGGAAACGCACACTTCCGCCGCTTTCGACGCCCATCCAAGGTCACGCTGGGGTGACTATCGTAATGGACAACGCCACATACTGCTCTTGGTGAAAAATGAAGAATGTTGCGCGCGATTTATGCACCATCAATCAAGACGCGTTAAATCCGAGTAAGACATAAAATACCGTTTGACGGTGACGGCAGTGACAGGTATATAACGACCCACCTGTCGCGATTTTGTTTACATTTTTTCTATCCATCACGTGCTTGCTTTTGATCGTCACATTTGTGGCCGTATGACATATGTCTGCCGCAATCCGGTACTGTTCGTGTCAATCGTCGCAAGAACTCGAGGTATACAATACGAGCCATGTGGTTTTCCACACCCACGTATCCAGACGGCCTTGGATCGGGGTGTTGACTATCGATTGTTTTGGTGGCGAGGGCGCCGCGTCTCCCTCGCCACGTTGCCGGCTTTTCACTAATTTTAATTAACCCGTTTTCATGACAACAATACAGTGCGTAACGGTGAAAAAGCAAACACGGGCATGTGCGAACATCTGGAACCCTAACCATGTTCAACAGCTGACATTGACCACTTCGAAGACGTTTTCTCTTATTCCATTATCTGTGTTTGTTCATTATTCGCTTATCGTCTGGCTAAAAATAAAAATAAAACAAAAGCTGATTTGTTATCGGTTTTGTGAGCGGGCGGAAGTTCCTCAACCCCGAAAGATATGGCGTGCGGTGACAGTTGTTTGAATAAGCGAGCAATAAATGTTCATTTAATTTGATTTATGTTGAATTATTCATTAAATTGACGAAGGTATAAAAATGTTATCCAATGATAAAATTACATAATATTAATGTAGATTGTCTCCTGTTTTTTCCTCTTTTTTGTGTGTTCAACACCGTAGAATCATTTGAAAATCCTCACACTGACAAAATAAGGTATTATAAAGGTCTGTGTTATATTCAATATTTGCTAATAGTATAATTTATTTAAATAATGTTTTTCTTAAAATCAAAATATACCATAAATTACTTCAAAATACGTCGAATGATTTTAACAGCATTAGTGGAACATTAATGATACAGTCCTTGACGGAATTTATATCAAAAACGAACAATTATTCAAAAAATGAACGAATTCAACACTGTTTTAGTGGTTCAAGGTCTTGCCGCTAGGTAATTATTAGCGTTATTGGCTGATTTTTCTAATTTATTACGACGAATTCGAAGAATGAATGCCATTGTGTCGATTATTATGTTAGAAACTGGTAGATTTGGAGGTATATAATTGTTAATATTTCTAGTCCATGAGAGGTTAAGAATGTACGTACTGTTTTGCTATCACTACAAATTCATGTAAAATTTTTAATGTAAATTTGGCGTTGGTAGTAACAAAACATTTAGTTTTCTTTGTATAGCACGATTACTTAAGTTTAAGAACATATTTCACATGGTAATTTCTCGTAGAAAAATAAAAATTTTACAATTAAGCTCTGCCCCACGGCTTACGATGAATAAAAAAATCATCAGAATTGAGACAGGGCGGGTGGGCGGGGCTTATTTTTGCCTTTTTTTTCTTAATGCATATACATAGCCATCTTTTCACAAATAGAAACTTAGAACATGGTTAAAATGGTACATTTTTGCAAGGAAATATGCATTTTGCAATTATTATTATTATTTTAAGTTTTATGTTGTGAAAAGAAGTCTACACATATATATTAAAACAAAAGGGCAAAATATAAGCCCACCCACCCACCCTATCTTGATGATTTTTTTATTCACCGTGGATCAAGGGGGCAGAACTTAACTGCAAAATGCTTATTTCATTACAAAAATATTAAAAACATTTTTTTGCGGATCATGTTGTTCAAAGAATATTATACATATTAAGAAAAAAAAAGCAAAATATTAACAACGCCCACCCACCCCATCTCCATTGTGATATATTTTTTTTTTGTTCTTAGAAACTTGGTTACACGTTTAAAATGGTAAATTTTTGTAAGAAATATGGATTTTGCAATTAGGCTCCGCCCCTAGATCTGCCAGTTAATGAAAACTTAATTTAGATCAGGGCAGCTGTGGGTGAGCTTAATTTTTGGTTTTAATTTTTTCTTGATATATAAAGTATTCTTTGAATATCTCAATGCTCAAAATCATGTCTTACATGGTAATTTCTTGTAAAGAAACAATGAGGATTTTCCAAGTAAATTCCACTCCTTTGGCTCTCGACGATTAAAAAAAAAAATCACAATTGATGTAGGGCGGGTGGGCGGGGCTTATATTTTGCCTTTTTTCTTAATATACTTAGTCGTCTTTACAGAACATGAAACTTAAAATATGTTTAAAATTGTAAATTCTTGTAGACAAATATGGATCTTGGAACTAAGCCCCGCCCCTCGATCTGACAACAAATGAAAAATTCATCACAATTCAGAACTGAGATCGGGGCGGGTATGGGGGAGACCTAATCTTTGGCTTTATTTTTTTCTTTGAACAACACGATATTCAAAAACATGTGTTTAATTTCTTGTAGAGAAATAAGGATTTTGCAGTTAAGCTCCGCCTTCTTGCCTCACGACGAATAATAAAAAAAATCATCATAATTAAGATGGGGCGGGTGGGCGGGGCTACATTTCGCCTTTTTTTTACTATGCGTAGACTTATTTCGACAACAAGAAACTTAAAACATGTCTAAAATGGTAAATTTTTGTAGGAATCAACTCCTCTTTTCTTCTACAACCCGTTTAAATACGGCAAAAGTTGAACATCAAAGTTACTCTCAAAGGTAACTTGGCAACGGAGTTTATAAATAACAATTGTCAGTTCTAAAAGCAATGTCAGTGGGAACAGTAACTGCAACGGAAACTTCAACGTCAACAGCAAGTTTATAAATCCCACGTAGTTTCAGCCAGAAAATCTTGGGCAGTATTTTTCTGTCATTAAAAAAAAACACGATGTAGTCTATGCTTTATTGTCATAATGATTGACACTTTTAAAAAATAAATTTTGACATACGTCATCATCCACATTCCAGTCTACGTCAAAATGACAAACATGGTAAATTTGAGGTTATAAGTACGTAAAGCCTGTTGTTTTAGAGCTAATGTCACTGGAATGACAGAACTGCCCAAGATTTTGTGGCCGAAACTATAAGTGTTTACGGATTATAGAAACACGCAGTGAGGAGGTGGAGCAGTCTAATACCCCCTTGCTGCTAAGTACCGATTGCGTGGGATAGTAATGTTACGAAATAAACCCATACGCCGCCCCGGTACGACGCCTATGGGTCGCGACGGGCCCAGAAAGTCTCGAAGCGGCGCTCGAAAAGCCTGGAAGCGGAAGTCGCGAATACCCAATTCGAGAAAGAGCTCGATCGCCGAAATATGGATTTAAATAGAGGCCATCTTTGGGAATGATTATTCAGTCAAGAAGTCGAGTGAGCGAATGCATTTAAGTTGCGAAGTTATTTTGTACCTAATCGCTGTAATAGTTAGTCAGAAATAAATTATTGAGTTTTACTCACGTCAATTTTAATCACCAGTATCGTAACAGTAACTTTCGACAATTACTTCACTACTTGCTATGATATGACTGATTTTGGCAGACCTTTTATTGGCAAATGATATACTCTCTAAAAAATAGAGGTGTTCCATTTGAGGCAAACTGACTAAAAAATTATATATAAAATGAAATCTTCCTTTAGAAAAAATGACAGAAATGAATTTTTAATTTTTAGTCTAGGTACTATTATTTCTCAATTCCATTCTACAGAAGAAAAAATAATTTACCCCGCCCACCCACCCCGTCTCCATTTCAGAAATTATTTCATCTGCTCTGAATGAAAGGTGGAACGTATACTAAACAGGAATAAAATTTGTCGTTAGAATGAGAAGAGGGTGGGTGGGTGGGGTTAGTAAATTGTAAAGATAAGGTTGATTTTGGCAAATGACATTCCTTTTAAGCACTCACCCTCTATTTTCTTGGAGAATTTATCATTTGCCAAAATCAGTCTTATTTTAGCAAGTACTAACCCCACCCACCCGCCCTCTATTTTTTTAGAAGCTTTATCATTTGCCAATATCAGAATTACCTTAGCAAGTACTAACCCCGCCCATCCGTCCTCTATTTTCTCAGAGAATATATTATGTGCCAAAATTACTCGTATTTTAGGAAATACTAGCCCGGCCCATCCGACCTCAGTTTTCTTATCGGTTACATCATTTGTCAAAGTCAGTGGCCGGGTGGGTAGGGGTTAGTAGTTTTAAACATAAGCCTGATTGTGGCAAATAATATACCTTTTAAGCACTAGCCCTCCATTTTCTTAGAGGATTTATCATTTGCAAAAATCAGACTTGTCTTAGCAAGTACTAGCCCCGCCCACCCGCCCTCTATTTTCTCAGAATATGATTTGCCAAAATCACATTTATCTTACCAAGTACTAGCCCCGCCCACCCGCCCTCTCTTTTCTCAGTGAATATATCATTTGCCAAAATCAGTCATATCTTAGGAAATACTAGCCCCGCCCACCCGCCCTCTATTTTCTCAGAGAAAATATCATTTGCAAAAATCAGTCATATCTTAGCAAGTACTAGCCCCGCCCACCGCCTTGTATTTTCTCAGAGAATATATCATATACCTTAGCAAGTTTATTAGGGAGTTTCATTTAGAGCAACAAATAGCGGCTGATTCAAACTTCCCTGTCGTCTAGCAGTCCACCTTAACTTAATTTTTCTTTTTGAGCGGTAACTAAGGGAAGTATTCTGACATTGTAATACGAAAATGCTCATATTAATAGTGTATTTTCCATTCAACTTATTTTCACAATAAAAGTAACTATTCTAAACTGTCCAAAATTTGTTTATTATATAAAAATTACCGTCACCTTCGTCTCAAGGATCTCTGAATTTCCTCCAAAGTTTTCCCTTTGGTTTCCGGCACCATCCAATATATAAATACACATCCCGCTAACGATACCACAGAAAACATAACGAAACACTTCGCCATACCTAACACTAAAGACAAATGAGGAAAAGCAACAACAACAATAAAAGATAAAACAAAAGTACTACAACCAACTATAGAGGCAGCATACGATTTGACATTTGGTGGAAATACCTCCGCCATTACAACCCATGCAACAGGCCCTAAACCTATCCCAAACGAAACAATAAACACAGAAAGACATAAAATCGGCAGCCACGAAAAGCCATCAAGTTGAAACTGGTTATTTTTTAGCCAAAAATACAGCCCTAAAGTTGACAGCGCTACAAAAATACCAAAAGTAGAACCAAGAAGTAGCATCCTTCGTCCGGCGCGATCCACAATTATAGATGATAAGAGAGTACCAAGTAGTTGGCACGTGCCAACAATCATTACACAGAATTCAGAGGCTAGGTTGGCCTTAGAAGCTTCGAAAATGATCTGCATATACGAGACTACGCAACCAAAACCGACACCTTGCTGGAAAAGACACAGTGTTGTAGATATCAGCAGAGTTCTTCGTAAGTAAGCAACTTTGAACAAGTCCTGAAGTCTGCCTGAATTTTGACTACTAGTACGTTTGGCAGCTTCAAGAATACGATCCATTTCTTTGTGTATTTCTTCGGGACTATTATTTCTTAGTTTGAAGAGACTCTTCGCCAAATTTTTGACATCGTTAGTGGATGCTAGAAATGGAGGCGTTTCTGGACCCAAAATAACAAAAATTGGAACGAAAATAAAAATAGGGGTCGCACAAACCAAAGAAAATATTGGAATGGATAAATAGGGGCCTATTATTAAAGTGACAGTCATACCACAAGCTACAAATATAGCCATGGAGCAACCTAAAGCACCACGGTTGTGATTTTCCGCAATCTCCGTCAAATATACCGGAATAACAGCGTACACACCACCAACAGCGACCCCTATTAAAAATCTAGAAGTATAAAACCACGCAATAGTCTTGGCAACTACCGGAATCAAATAAGATACACCTAGAAGACACGCTAAAATCAGTAGCATTCGCTTTCTTCCAAACTTGGCGGCAATTTTGGCGGCACCTAAAGGCCCGACCACTCCACCCAGAGGTGTTAAAGCTGCTAATAACGAAATTTCAGACGTGGTGATGGGTCGACTAAAAGGGTTTTCTTCGATTCCTCTACTTCCGTCCAACTTAGGAAGGGCAGGAGTAACCCAAACGATTGCACTTCCAGAAGCAATACTTAAGAGATTGACTAAAGAAAAGTACTTTTGAATAAAACAATGAAAGTAAAAGCCACACTCACCTATTGCTGCAATTATATAAAGAAAATAGTTTAGTTTTTTAGGTCTGGTTTCTACATTGTCTGATGCGTCTTTGTTTGCTGCAACTTCCTTCAATGGAATCTCGTCTTGTTCATTATGCATCTTGACGCTATTATGAATGCACTAGATTTTAATCTTTTTAATTTTTGTGATTGTGATAACCTCTGTATATGAATTAAGTAAAGTGCAGACAATAATTACTTCGCCCTTGATTGTTATCTGTGCAGCATACATTATTGTTTGTATGAAGTTTAAGATAGTTTTGTTGCACACAATACCAGTATAGTGCACAAAATCTTATAAGTGATGATGAGCTAGGTATATAATGCTTTTTGATCGTGATGAAACTCCTTGCAGAACAGTGACTCGAATGTGTACACAGATGTTAGGTATATATTTTTTGCTTTTGTGTTAATTCAAAATTTATATTTGACTTGAGGTTGAATAGAGTAGCATTACGTCGAGTCCGCATTGATCTGTATTGATTATTTAATTAATATAGACCTCATAACAACATCCACGTCACAGTTAATTAAGTCTATTGTACTTTTAAATTCTTCATTCATTTTGATAATAGAACTGTCAGGCTGAAATGAGTTTACTAGTGATTTAAAGCAACATTACTGATAAATCGATGGTGCTAGTATGTAAAAAGTATTAAAATAAAATGAATTAGGAGTGGCGTTGCTTGTTAAGCTTTGGGTGGTACTACTGCCCTAATTGACATAAATCAATGTCAACATAACCTTAAACCAATCACCTTTTGTTTAAAATTTCATTATCTCAATAATTAAGTTTTAATTCGCACCACCTATATAACCAGTTGAAATTTTATTTAGATGTAAAGTTAATTTATTTTTAATTGTGAATAAAAATTTTTAATTTACGTGTATATTAAGTGTTTGTTAAATCTCAAGCGATCGGTCACTTCGAGATTGCAGGTGAATGGAAAAACAATTACACGGTGAAAGAAAAAATGCAAGGAATGAAGGTAGCATATGTTTTTTACGTGATGACCTCAACATTTAAATTACAAAAATAATTATTGTTGCCAATACGACTTGTAACTGTTTATTAATGATAATTCCAATGTAGACAATATAAAGTCCGAGTGCAATCTGTTCATGTTTGTACAACTTCCTCGGAGTTGTTCTAAAAATGAAAATCCTTCTTAGATGAATATCAATGTGTATAGAACATTACAAGTGTCTTAAAAAGATGTATCTACTGTGTACATTCGTTAATATTTTTCTTTAATAGAATTGCAACGAAAACACATTCTAGATATAATATTAATAAAGAAGTCACGATAATTTGGGAGTCTTTTATCAACGCATTTGTCATTATAAATCCTAAGTATTGTGTGCCAAATTTGTTGTAATCGCAATAATCGCTACTTATCATTTAAATAAAATACACACAGTAATTCGTATGTCCTTGATTATTATCACCGCAAGCTGCATTATTATTTATATGAAGCTTATGAAGATTTTATTGCGCACCTGTCATGTGTTAAACCAGAATATTTAAAGCGATAGTTGCTTGTCACATGTGAGGTTGGAGTGTTTAATTTCAAGCGATTATTATTACTTGTTTGGGATATAAATTCCAGGAAGTAACGGGTGTACGATAAAAAATATATTTGGAACAGGCCTTGGAATTATTATTTGTCGTTTATTTATAGCAAGGTAATTATTTTCGGAGACTAAGTAGGTAACCGAACATATTTTAGAGAATGGATGGTTTCGTAATGCAGTCGGGTTGACAGGTAATTGACATTTCCTAGATTTACGTATCAATTTTTCCCAGTTTATTGTTGTTTCATCTTTTGCTCTGTTTGCGTGATAAAAAACAATTCTTTTTAGAATTAGACTGGGTTTGTTAACTTTTTCTGAACAACACAAAGTATTCATATCTTATTTTTTAAACGGTATAAAAGTAGATGGAACGGGGCAATATTCAATTGGATTATGTATGGAAGAGTTTAGAGAAGAATTCCCTGACTGACATACATTTGTATATGAATTACGTCCAATTGATTTTCTTCAAATATTTCAATACTGTCAATGGTTTCCAATAGATTCGGATGACCATTTCGAAAAAACGGGTAAGAGTTTTTTTGGATAATTAGTTTGATAGAAGATGGATTGGAAGGCGTGGACCAATTGAATGGCCACCTAGATCTCCGGATCTGAGACCCCTTGACTTTTTTTATGGGAACATTATCGAGTCGTGTTTACCTGAACAGACTCGATAATTTAGACGCCTTGAAAGCACGAATTCGTCATGAAATGACTCGTACAAGTCCCGAATGTATTGTTCTGTTTATTTAATATTTATCATTAAAATCAACTTTATTTTGTTATTAATTTTCTCAAAAAAATTTTCTTCATCAAACTTCATTTTCATATGGTGATACAAAGTTCTGAGGGAAAAAAATTGAAAAATATGCAGAAAAATAAGCTTTACCTATCAAATAATGCAATCAAAATTATCACGTCTCATTAAAAAAAAAAATCATTTCTGACGTCATAACTTTTACAAATTTGACGTAATTTTTTTTTAACATGTCAAAACATGGAGAGTAAAATAAAAAGCTTTGTCTTTTCGAATACATTGTGAGACCAAAAACAACTCCAGAACAAGAAATATCTCTTGTTTAGTAAATTATTTTGAACTGAGTATCCAATGCATTTAAGTTTACAATTTTCAGTTGACATGAAGAAGCATAGATGTTCCTCAGCTAAAAAGCAAAATTGAACACTTCGCTAAATAGAGGTATGACGTTATGCAGTAATAAAACAGCGTGAACCTAGCATCACCATTGGTTAGACAACATCTGGCTTGTGGCCCCAATAGATTCAAGTAAGCTTTAGAACGGGCTGTTCAAGCGCCTTCACGTGATCACTGCAAATGTTGGGCGATTGTAGTATAATTTAATCATAAAGCAATAAACACATAAATTATATTTATTAGACATATTATTTGTGTCGACGGATTAGTACAGTAACAGGTGTTTCGCATTTAAAATATAATCTTGTTACAACTGTTGAGGAAATGTTGAAGATTCCGTAGGTTAGTGTTACTATTAAAAATTCTGCAATTTAAATTTTGGTTGTAACTGAGGATTTAACTTTGGCGTAAAAACGGGTTCACTGCATAAATCTTTTTCACTTTTTGACATATTGGCTTTAGCTATAGAAAAGATTTTCGAGAACTATAATAAAACTCTATAAAATATATGGTGCAACATGATTCGAATTTCTGTAAAGCTTTCCAAAATCGGAAATTCGTGATGCTTTATTCTTTTGTTTGAATAGCTACTAGCGACATAATTACATATAAATGTCAAAAACTTTTGGTTCACAGGGGTTCGCAATAGATCTGATGTTTTTTATCATCTTTATTAATGATTTGTTTAATCTAGTTTCATTGTCTTCTTCTGTAGACGATTCAAAATTATGAGGAAATGACAAATTTAAACGTCACATCACCACATTATCGCCAGATACGGGTAAAAATTGGTGAACACTTTTCTTTATATAGCTTTGATAGGGTGAAATTTTTTACGAATTTTTTTGTTTGACTTAATCAACGAGCGTGATTCAAATACACACGCTCTCCATACTCGTTTGTTTGTTTAATATTCCTGTACGCATTAAGCTCCTACGCTTTTATGTTCATTCATTACGCTGGATAAATATTGACGAGAAGCAGATTAAAAAGCTTGGTTTAGCTTTTCGTGTTTAACACTTTTCACCCTGTATACTTTTTGTTTATATACTGAGGGAGTTAAGCAGAATAACGAAAGCTATATAAAGGTTCTATTACTATTAAATACAAAAATAACACCCTGGTGTAAATTTATTTCGACTTGACCCAACTAGACCCCATCAAGAACCGCACTAAATCACTCAAATCTTTCCTCTAATTAACATCAAATACATCTGGTCGAAAAATGCGGATACAACATTGCACCGATTCCTGCACTCCGTTCGAGGTCAAGGTGTACAATGAAATACCGAAAGTCGCCCCGGGGCTCCCAACATCTGCAAAGCGTGTATGCTCGCCGTTCCGCGATCACTACTCGCACCGAGGCCATCCTCTAGCAGTAAAATTCTTGCGTGCTCGCGTGAACAGAAAAGGGGGCCCAGAATTAGGCCCAATGAATAGATTAAATCGGTTTAATTCGAGCACACGCACGCACACTTACCCTGTTTGACGGAGACGAATTTCGAGTTGAGCGCCGCAACAAAACTAGCCTGAGGGAGGGAATCTTCCAAGGAGAAGAGCTCGTCCTTGGTCACGGTGTTGGAACGGGTCTTCAAGACGGCTTTGGAGCCGATGGGGCTGAGGTAGGAGCCGCAGCGGTCGCGCAGGGCTAGCTGGCCGCTGTGGTATTCGGCAGTGAAGAGGCAGTCCTTGTTGCAGGTGTCCACAAGTTTACCTGGAAGTGAATATCAAAATGATAAGAATTATAAAAGTGGCGTGATTTAATTAGGTTCGTGTTTTCTGCAGACACACATCAAATTTAACCTTTGCTCTATACCCTAGAAGTTCTTAGATATGAATAATTTTCGAATATTTATGGATTATACATATTGCAACAATACTGCTTTACATACATATAATGTAAACGTTGATTGTAAACTTTCCATCCCTAATGTCGATGTGGTAAACGAAGAATTCTTACGTAAATGAAAAAATCATCAGAGAGAATCGGCACGCTTTAATACCAGTAAAATTCCAATTGTGGTGTGTTTCTAAGGTTGTTGCCATGAAATGGACTAAAAAAAGTGTTTGCCAAGTTTCATAAGAATTAATGATGAATAATGGCTTGTAGAAACTACGTAAAAAAATTATTTAGACAGAACTTTCCTAGTCCCTGAAGTACAATAAAATAAATTTGGTTTCTTGGACAAATTACATAATGTGATTTTACATTTTTTTTATATGATGATATCTATAGTGTAATAGTACTAAATGTCAGGAGCATGAAGCCCATAACATACGCTACTTCATTAATTATTTTTTGAAACATTAGCATTGATAAACTCCAAGTGTAAACTTACAATATTCTGCACATTTAAATATAATTTATTTATCAAAATGTTGAGATGACGTCATCAAATTTTTGGAGGGGACAAACATATTAATTTTGATTAACTACTTACCATGCTTACGACAATCTTAAAATGGTGTAAGATTTCAGAGCACTGGGTTTTGCAGTTTCTAAGTTAAATTATAAAATGTGCAACTTTGATGTTTTTCTCTAAAAATTTTGACGTCCAAAGTAAAAAATAAGACGGACTCATTAAAACACACTTTGAAGTTATGTCCTCAGATTGTTCATGGGGATGATCAGTCAAATTCGTTAGCATTTTAGCATCTGCATCACATTATAATCGACAATAGTCGACAGATAGATCGAAATTAAAGACCTACTTTTTCATATACTATGGATTATGAAACGTCAGAGAACAAAAAATTACCCGATTACAATACTTCCAGTCTTACACTCTACAAGGTAAAGTTAGTTAAAACCTGGCTCGAACTTCCCTGTCTAAAATATAAAATTTGAATCTACAAATTTTCAAAGTAAAAAAGTGTTAAGCAAACGAGAAAGATGTGCTCTATGTTTCAAGCGAGAGTTTCTTAATAAAATTTTCTGAAGACGTCATCAAATTGTTAGAGGAAACCAGTGTACATCACTTATGATGGTATATTGTAACACATCATTTTTCGAGGAGGTGAACAGATGAAACCAACATAATGAGTGTAAAAAATTTCAGAATATTTGGTTGTTTTTGAATAAATTTGTAAATTTTTCTATTAGTGTTGATATACAATTAACACTATACGACGCAGTTTGATCATTTTTACTTCCCGAGCGTAAGCAAAGGAAGTATTGTAATCGAGTCCGTCGGTCGACTCTCTACTTTTCCGTTTTCTCGATCTTTCATGACCCCTAGAAGACGAAGAAATAGGTCTCCCATTTCCGTCTGTCTGTCTGTCTGTCCGTCTGTCCGTCCGTCTGCCGTCCCGGATTTTTATTAGACAGATAATCTCCGAAAGTACTCGACCGATTGTTGTGAAATTTTGTACTTATATTAAGAATAGCATGTAGATGGTAAAACGCTAACCAAAATTTGTCTAATCATCCCCACCACTAATGCGATGACGTCACTTCAAAATTGTACATAGTAAATGGGTTTTAAATTGTATAAAATAACATAGTCCTACACATGTAGTTTACAACTCTGAATCGACTTTTCACCCGAAACGTCCAGATTTTTGGAAAAAAAATCAAAATTATAAAACAACATTTTGAAATTTAATTTTTAATTTGCTAACCAGAATGCTTTGAAATGTTGCAGATGTTTTAAGGCTATAAAGAGCATAATAAATTTTTAGTCAAAAAATATTTGCTTATCCCCTCCAAAAATTTGATGACGTCAGCTCAAAAGTTTGTGGAATAAATCATATCTAAAATGTACAAAATATGATGAGTCTGTACTTGTGATCTATCACTCCATTCATATTTTTTGGATTTGCATATACAGGGTGACTCAAAAAAATTAATGAATGCGTAAATTTATTTTACTGATTTACTCAGAAACTACAAAACCGAATGCTTTGAAATCTTGCAGATGTTTTAAGGTTATAAAGAGCATAATAAATGTTTAGTCAAAATATATTTGCTTATCCCCTCCAAAAAATTGATGACGTCAGCTCGAAAGTTTGCCGAATAAATCCTATCTAAACTGTAAAAATATGATGAGTCTGTACTTGTAATTTATCACTCCATTCATATTTTTTGGATTCGCATATACAGGGTGACTCACAAAAATTAATGAATGCGTAAATATATTTTATTGATTTAATCAGGAACTACAAAACCGAATGCTCTGAAATCTTGCAGATGTTTTAAGGTCATAAAGAGCATAATAAATGTTTAGTCAAAATATATTTGCTTATCCCCTCCAAAAACTTGATGACGTCAGCTCGAAAGTTTGCCGAATAAATCATATCTAAAATCTACAAAATATGATGAGTCTGTACTTGTCATTTATCATTCCATTCATATTTTTTGGATTTGCATATACAGAGTGACTCAAAAAAATTAATGAATGCGTAAATATATTTTATTGATTTAATCAGGAACTACAAAACGGAATGCTCTGACATCTTGCAGATGTTTTAAGGTTATAAAGAGCATAATAAATGTTTAGTCGAAATATATTTGCTTATCCCCTCCAAAAACTTGATGACGTCAGCTCGAAAATTTGCCGAATAAATCATATCTAAAATTTACAAAATATGATCAGTCTGTACTTGTGATCTATCACTCTATTCATATTTTTTGGATTTGCATATACAGGGTGATTCAAGAAAATAAATGAAAGCGTAAATTTATTTTACTGATTTACTCAGGAACTACAAAACCGAATGCTTCGAAATCTTGAAGATATTTTAAAATTATCATAAGCATGGTAAATTTTTGATCAAAATGTATTTGGTCGTCCCCCCTAAAAAATTTATGACGTCACCACAAAATTTTGCTGAATAAATCCTATCTAAAATGTACAAAATATGGTGAGTCTCTTCTTGTGATTTATCATTCCATTCAATTTTTTTCGATTTGCATATACAGGGTGACTCAAAAAAATTAATGAATGCGTAAATTTATTTTATTGATTTAATCAGGAACTACAAAACCAAATGCTTTGAAATCTTGCAGATGTTTTAAGGTTATAAAGAGCATAATAAATTTTTAGTCAAAATATATTTGGTTATCTTCTACAAAAAACTGATGACGTCAGCTCAAAAGTTTGCCGAATAAATCGTATCTAAATTGTACAAAATATGATGAGTCTGTACTTGTTATTTATCATTCCATTCATATTTTTGGATTTGCATATGCAGGGTGACTCAAAAAAATGAATGAAGGCGTGAATTTATTTTATCGATTTAATCAGGAATTACAAAACCGAATGCTTTGAAATCTTGGGAATATTTTAAAGTTATTATAAGCATGGTAAACTTTTGTTCAAAATGTATTTGTTCATCCCTCCTAAAAAAATTGATGACGTCACCCTTAAATTTTGCTGAATAAATCCTATCTAAAATGCAAAAAATATGATGAGTTTGTACTTGTGATATATCATTCCATTCATATTTTTTAGATTTTCTTAAGAGGTGGTTCAAAAAAAGGCGCCGTATACCTGAATAAATTGTTTCGTTATTTTATTGATTATAAGAAATCAATATTCAAAACGACCCAATTCATTTTCCCGAAAATTTGGGAATACAATAATTTTATTCTTAGTATTACACTACATCTATCCCAACTGATATACGTGTCCTTGCAAAAATGTTGATGACGTCATCACAATTTTTTTTTAAATTCCCACTACAAAAATGTAATGAGAAAAAAAAAACACAATAGGCATGCAGTCGTCAAGTTTCCGACAGCGAGGGAAGTACTGTCTAAACTCTTTAGACCAATTTTTCTTGTAAAGTTATTAAACTCGAAGAAGTGATGTAAAATAAACAATTAGGTATTTTTTCCCGCAATAACCACACCATTATTTTATTTTATTACTGGTACTAATGGAGTATCGAGCAATGCTTTTACTTAATGCTTTCAGAGTTACAATCACTTAAACTAAGTGCAAATCAGACACAACTTGGTTTTTGAACATTTTTTTTACTTCCTGAGAGTAAACTCATATTTTCTCGACGTTCCACGACCCCTAGAGTACGAAAAAATAAGTCTCCCGTTTCTGTCTGTCTGTCTGTCTGTCTGTCTGTCTGTCTGTCGATTTTTAACCAAAATTTGTCTAGTCATGCCCACCAAGAACGTGATGATATACTATTTAAATTTTATAAAATAACATAATCCAGTACTTGTGGTTTATGAATTCGTTTCGATTTTAATCACAATTAGTTTACAAATATTGAGTGAGTGAGCTGCGTGGTTAAACGTGCATTTTTTTAACACATTGTATTTGTTTGAATGTTTATAAACAACTTGAAATCAATTTAATTTTTAATTATGCACCCATCATGGCAAATTAGGTCAGAAATTTAAAAAATCACACGGTAATTTGGTGAGTTTTATAAACAATTGATATTTAAATGTTTGAAAACAAATTAAATATTACCTAAAAATAATGCTTACTTAATATTTTAGTTGTTTAGTTAACCTATTAACTGTCAACGACAAGAACAGTGTCTACTTGTCATACAAATTTTAAGATTAATTCCGTTATTTCCCACAGGTAAACGTGTAGTATGCCACATAACAATAGACATTATGAAAGGTATAATTATATTTTCGTATTGAAGGTTATTTTTTTGTATTATCTAATGTCTAATAGGATAAACGGCTCGCGTGGAATTGACGTATTTAGTCTGAAATCCAATCTAATTACAAACCACTAA